AAAATAACAGACAAATGAACATCGTTGTTATGTATTGATAATAATTTATGTTTATTTTAACAGTAGCATCACCGGATAACCACTATAGCGTACCTTATTAGCGAAAAGATTAAAAAATCTGATTTTTAATCTAAAGAATGTTAAAATATGAAGCTATTACAAATTTCTTAATTATTCTGTATAAAAATCGACAAATCTTTTATTTTTGCTGCGGAATATTTATTGTATAATCTTTTGACTTTTATCGTGAATACACTATTGTATAATTCCTTATTGCGATATAAAAGTTCCTATAACGTTAGTCTTTGTAAACAGTTACAGTACAAAAATTCTGTTACAAATTTTTGCGCAAAATAAAATATTTGAAAAAATTGATTTCCATCTTTATAGTTGTCATAAAAAATTATTGCAATTTCTACGATAATAAAACGAACAAAGCAGAAAACATTCCTTAATTAAAACTATAAATACGTGTACGATTCAAGTATACATTCGAATTGTTGAATCTGCACCTGCAGAAAATACCCATGGTTGAATGGGGTGAAATATTACATCCAAAATACCAAAGTCATTGTAAGATTCATGATTGCATAATCTCTTAAGTGGCACAATCAGTGGATTTTTCAGTAAATCACTAAAATATAGTATGAAATAAATGGTACATACTAAACAATGATGTCAAGTAATTAAAAATGTAAATTAATTATCTTACTTGTACACCATTCCGTGGGAAACAATAAGACTCTTATCATCAGCACCAGATGCAAAAAGAGGATATCGTTTGTGAAATGCAACACCACGTACACCTGTACCATGTAAGCGTAATGTTTGGTAAGGTTTTGTACTTAAATCAATATCAAACCAAAGCATTTTGCGATCGTAAGTGCCTACTAAAATATTGTCACCTCCTAGAAATGTGGGAATATAGAATTATTAAATGAAATTATGATGGTATAAATATATTGTTTGTACGATTTATTTACCTGGATGTATCGTCATTGATGATATCCATTGTGAGTTCGATAATAATTTTTTAATCATTTCTTGTTTTACTAAATCGTATATCCGCACATTTCGTTGAGTCTAAAATTATTTTATTGCAATTATACATTTCAATTTTTACATTTAAATTCACATTTACTTTGTACTTACCGCTACAAACAAATAAGGCCTAATTGGGTGGAATAAAACACATTGTATTAAACCTTTTGATCTGGTAAAAGGCAATTGCGATCTTCGTTTTGATAACTGATTTATTAAGACAGATCTATTTTGACCATCTGGCATAACAGTGGCAAAGTAATCACCTTTACCGTGCCATGTTACTTGTTTCACTACTTTAAAGTGATTTAAAATGATTCTAATGCCATTGGTCCAGTGTTCACTTTCTGCTTGTTTCCACTCAACAACAGTTTTCACTCTTTCACTTACTAAAAAAAGAGTAATAAATATAAAAAATATTCTAATCCTACCATCTTTGTATGTGATTATAATAAAACAGTTATACAAATGACTATTAAGGCTTCCGGATATAAACTATGTCCTTATGCAAAGAATATTCCAATGTTTCGAATAACACACTGATACTAACGTGTACCTAAGGGAGGTGCGTTATTTATGTCATTCGAACCCTGATGATGTGAGCTGCAATACTTACGGAACGTCGGAATGTTTCTTCCATAAGAACATGGCTTACACCCGGAAGCCTCAACAGTAATAATTGTGATACTGGGCCGTGAAAGCCTCAAATCATTGAACTATACAAATGTTTGTATATTGCATAGAATGCTACACAAAAATTACACATTTTATATTACCTATAATATCATTTTGAGGTATTATTTCTAGTAACTGATTTGCTTTGCTAGTAATTAAATGATCTCCAACACCAGGATTTATCAAAAGAACCTTTTTCTCTGCAGCTACTGCTATAAGTGATAAAGATTGATTTGGACACCAGGCTACACACCTAATTATTCCACCACAAAGTATTGTTTTTACACATCTGCCTGTTGCTATTTCCCATACTGTAAAACAATTAACAGTGATACGTATAACATATAATATTTTGTTTAAAACATATTTACTTTTTAAATTCATATCATCTCCACCGGAAGCAATGTATTGTCCCATTGGTTCTACTGTAATACTTCTCACCATGTCTACATGACCTTTAAATACCATAGACATTGTTGTAGGAAATGGTTGCAGATCCTTTGGACTGGGCAATTGAGGTACTAATGCTTCAGGTTCTATTGTTAATCTCATTTTTAATGCTCTTGGACACAAATACAAATCCAAACATCTCTGAAATCTTTCTTTAATGTACTTAGGATAGGAAGGAACTTCACGAAGTGAATTATATTTTTGTGGAATAAAGTGTAATTTTCGTTTCCATGGAGCTGTTTGTAATTTAGTCCATTCTTTTAATTCCTTCTTGTCGAATAAATACTCTGGCGGAGGATTATAACTTTCTGCATGTCCAGGTAAATGTCTTTTTGGTGCTGGGATATGTTTATGAATTCTACGCATTTCTTCAGCTTGATCATCCGATTGCCACAACATGTAAAATTGTGGTTCATTTTTCTTCTGTTGCCTTTCTTTTTCTAATTCAGCAGTAGATTTTATCCAACCCATTTTAAGTGCATGAACTAATTTTGATACCTTTTTAGCTTCTGATTTAGATGGCAAAAACGAACGCTTATGTTCAGGAAATTTACGTAATGGGGTTTTTATTACTTCTGACGTAAACCATTCTATCCATGGCTGTAATAAAAACATAACATAAAAACTTAATTCTTAATATTGAAATGTTATTGAATTAAAAAAAATATTGGAGAACAGAGGTAAGATTAATATATAAAAAGAAACAACGTACAGCATATTCATTGAAAGTTGCATCAGGAATTTTTCGTTTTTGAATTCTTGTAATCAAATCTATATCTGCTTCACTCAACACAATATCTTGTCCAGTTTGAAGATCTTTAATTGTTCTCCAAAATTCTGGGTCTTCCATTCTTTTCAAAAAGTTATCTAATTGATCACCTTTTTGAGGTTTTATAATTTTTTTACCATCCCAGTTATAGCCAATATGATCATAATTATTGTACCATTTCATTGGTATGTTTCCAACTGTATTACGAATATCTTCTTCATCAGAACTATCATATTCATATTCATCTACTGGATGATTTGCTACTGTTTTATCATTAAATGCATTCTCATTACTTGTACTAGATACAGTATCTTGTTTTGATTTCTCTGCATCTTTTTTTGATTTTACACTTTTCTCACTCTGCATTTTACTTTCTTGCATAATTTTAGAATTAATTAGTTTATTTAACTTATCAACTTTATTTGTGTTATTACTATTAAATGCAGAAGATTCATTATTTTTTGTTTTAAGTTTACTTGGCTTTAATGTTGAAATAGTTACAGAACTTCTTTCACCTAAAATTTCATTTATACTGCTTTCATCAAGAGAACTATTTTCATCATCAGTTTCTGAATAGTCAGCATCTAAACCACGATCATCAGAATCAGAATCAGATTCAAAATTTAATTCATCTTTGTCATCATCAGATTCAAAGGCAATTGGATCTTTCTCAGTATCTGACTCGGGAACATTTTCATTTTCATCAGCTTCTTCATCTGTGCTTTCATCATTATTATTTACTTCAGTTAATAACAAATCTTCAGTCCCTGAATCCTAAATAATTTGTAACCTATAGTTTTTTTATTTCTTGAAATATATCTACACATTTACCACAATTTCAAGACATATTTAATAATATATATACAAATATTATGATAAATAAATTTCCAACAGTATCACAATCTTATAATGATTATATATTTACATAATACATATTAATTATGTAGGGTGATTCTCTTGCTTGTTAATCTAAAGGCAGTGCTGTCAATTACATTGCAATGGTAATGCTGCATTGGGCGTGATCTGTTGGCTGTTCTCTGATGCACAGTGAAGACTTGTGACAGATTACATGTACAGACACAGTGTGATCAGTGGCACTGTCTTTAGGTTAATTAGTAATATGAATATATTTATTAATATAATTTTAATTTATACAATATCATTAATGAAATACATATACATGCAGGGTATCTTAGACCTTAGTGGCTTACAGTTCTCACCGAGAGGAGTAAAAAATGCTTAAGTAATATGGTTTCTTAAATCCATCATTTCAGTGTAAAATTTACTTTTGTATCTATGAACGTTCAATATCTTAAGAGAGTTTAACAGAAGAATCAGTTTGGAGGCACATTAGTTCAAAGTTGTATGGCAACAGAAGGTAATTAGTAATATCAAGAGAGATTACATAGATATTTAATATATAAATTTACATTTTA